TCATCCTAAACCTTGCCAAAACACCATTCCTGGTACGTTGACGATGGGATTCCGTGAAACTCTTGTAAACGTTGTAACGAATATGCGCGGCGCTACGGCGAGAGCCACATGTTGAAAAGGAGCCGCCCTCAACCCGTGACGCTCTTGCAAATTTGTAAAACGAATGTACGCGGCGATACGGCGAGAACCACATGCTGAAACCCACCCGCCCTCAATCCGTGAAACTCTGGCAAATATCCAAAACGAATGCGCGAGGCGCTAAGGCCAGAACCAAATTAAAAAAAGGAACCGCCCTCGATCCGTGAAGCTCTTGGAATTTTGTTTAAACGAATGTACGCGGCGCTGAGGCGAGAACTACGTTTTGAAAACCAGTCACCCTCAATCCGTGAAGCCCATGCGAATGTTTGAAACGAATGTGCGCGGCGCTAAGGCGCGAGCCACACTAAAAAAAACGCCCGCCCTCCATCTGTGAAGCTGTTGCCAATGTTTTCGCTTCGGGGCAGTCTCAGGCGAAACGCCCGGCCCGCCCTAAAAACTAGCCTCGGGGTACAGGGAACAATCCCACCAGCCCTCTGGGCGTAGGTGGTCTAGAACAGATCCTCTTCCACCCCTCCCTCTTCCCCCTTGGGGAGGGGTTTACCCCTCCCCCTACCCCCTCCCCTGGACCTGGACGGGGGGGGCCGCGGGTAGTTAGAGCGTCCAAGATGGCCCAAGACGGCTCCAAGAGCGCCTCAGAGAACCCAAGATGAGCTCCAAGATGGCTCAAGATAGCGCAAGATCGCTCACGATGGCTCCTAAGATGGTTCCAAGAAGCCCAAAGACGGCCCCAAGATAACTCCAAGTGGCCAAACAGCTCCCCAAGGAGGCCCCGAAGAGGCCAAAATCGTCCCAAAACCTAAGGAAAATCAATGATTTTTGCTTTCTCGCCTTTTCGCTTCCGATGGCTATCCGAGGCCTGGAGATGGCTCCAAGATGGCCCAAGAGGGCCCCAAGAGAGCCCCAAAAGAGCCCCAAGACGGCCCCAAGAGCGCCCAAGAGCACTCCAAGAGCGTTCCAAGAGGGGTCCAAGAGGCGATTTTAGGGGCTTCCGAGGGGGGGCGCTAATTAAACCCCCCCTCTTGTTTGATCGACTCCCTCCAAGATGGCCCCAAAAGCGCCCCGAAGGCTCCCCAGAGCGCCTCAAGAGGGTCCCAAGAGGCGCCCAAGATGCCCCAAGGCGCCCAAAAAGCCCTCCAAGAGGCCCTCAAAAGACCCCCAAGAAGCTCCTTCCCCTCCTCCTCCTCCTCCTCCGATTCTTCCTCCTTCTCCGTCCTCCTCCTCCTCCTCCTCCTCCTCCTCTTCCCCCTCCTCCTCCTCCTCCTCCTCCTCCGACGACGACGACGACGACGACTCCTCTTCCATCCTCCCCCTCTCGGGGTCTGTGACAGCTTCCCCCGCCCTTTGTTATTCTGCATGCTCCCCGACTTCCCTGATCACCTCAACTCCCCTGAGCATCGTTTCTGGATGGGCTGGTGGGGATACGCGAAGCGTCAACAATTTCGTATAAGAACAAGCAATGGATGAGGAGGAGGGGGAGGAGACAAGACAAGACCACTTCGCTGCATCGGCTTTACAACTGCTTCCTGTACCCGCGCGCAGTCGATGGGCTGCAGCAGCTGCCCCGACGTGTTCATCAACCGCAAGCGCTTGGCCTGAGCTCGATCCAACCGCGTCGTGCAGCAACATCCCCTCTCGCTGACACCGTCGTCGGCATCCTAGGCATCACCACCACCAGCATCACAGTTACCATCATCATCCTCATTGTCGATCTTGTTACCCTCCTCGCCATCACCACCACTAGCATCATCATCATCATCATCATCATCATCATCATCATCATCATCATCATCAACATCATCATCATCGCCAACATCACCGCCTTCTCCATCGCCACCCTACGTAAGCCGCAACTGCGTCGCCGTAGCTGTCATCATCACCATCATCACCATCATATTCATGTTCCTCCTCATCATCATCGTCAACATCATCATACTCATCATCAGCACCAGCATCATCATCGCCATCATCAACATCACCGTCACAATCATCATCACAGTCGGCAGCATCACCACCATCGTCATCCCCATCATCGCCAGCGGCAGTAACATCAGCACACCACAATTAAAACCAGCATCACAACCTCCATCCTCTCAATCGTCAATAACATCATCATCACATTCTTCATCCTAATCATAATCACCAGCAGCACCGACTTCACCATCATCAAGCTCATCATCCTCATCAGCATCCTTACTGTCATCGTCATCATCATCATCAGCAGCATCACCACATACATCATCATCATCAGCAGTATCAGCAACAACATCGACATCAGCATCAAAAACATCAGCATCAGCAGCATCATCATCAGCATCATCATCAGCATCATCGGCAACAGCTTCATCAGGATCAGCGTCCTCTTCATCAGCAGCACCACCATCAGCAACATCAACAGCAGCATGTACATCATCACCACCAGTGTCATCATCAGTATCAGCATCGTCGCCAACATCACCGCATTCTCCATCGCCATCCCTAGCCGCAGTTGCATCAACGTCGCCGTCATCATCATCAGCATACGCATTATCATCCCACTCACCATCATCATCGTCATCACCAGCATCACCATCATCATCACAGTCAGCATCATCAGCATCATCAACGTCACCATCAGCATCCCCATCCTCGTCCGCATCGTCATCAGCATCAACGTAAAAAAACATGACCATTAGAGACGTCATCACCATCACCAGCATCACCATCGTCAAACCTACCTCTATCATCATCACCATCTCCACCGACATCGCCATCATCATCATCATGATCATCATCATCGTCATCATCATCATCATCATCATCATCATCATTCCTATTCTCATCCTCATCATCATCAGTATCCGCATCATCGCAACCATCGTAATGAAGATATAATTATGTATATATACACCAGCATAAACATCATCACCACCACTATCGTCATCAACATTGCCATCATCGTCGCCAACATCACCGCCCTCGCCATCGCCATCATAAGCCGCAGCTGCATCGTCGTAGCCGTCGACATCAAGAAATACTCATCATTATCATCATCATACTCATACTCATCCTCATCGTCATCAGCAGCATCACCATCATCATCACAGCCACCACAATCATCGTCATCCTCATCCTCATCCTCATCATCATCATCATCATCATCATCATCATCATCATCATCATCATCCACATCATCACCATCACCAGCAGGACCATCATCACCATCACCATCAGCACCATCGTCATTGTCATCGTCATCAGCATCACCATCACCACTAACATTACTGACCATCATCGTCTCCATGCTCATCCTAATCCTCCTCCTCCCATTCCTCCTCCTCCTGCTCATCAGTATCACCATCGTCAACATCATCATCATAAACATCATCATCATCATCATCATCATCATCATCATCATCATCATCATCATCATAAACATCATCAACATCATCATCGTCGGCATCGTATTTCTCATCCTCTTCGCCATCATCCGCTTGCCCTCATCTCTCCACACATCCACAGCCCCTCCAATGCAGTCAGGCAGCCTCCTGGTCAGGGGGAGGTGGGCGAGGTTCTGGGGTGTCCTAGATCAGATTATCGGGGTTCCTGGGAGCTCTGTGAGAGGTTTTGGGAGGATTGTCTGGGTGTCCTCCTGGGGGCCAGGGGGAACAGCAAGACCAATCTCGAACGCCTCCCTGTGGCTGCACTTTAGAACCCCCCCCCCATGCACCCCGAACGCCTCCCCCCCGTCCCCATCTTCCATGTGCCGCCGTGCAATCAAGCCCTGTTGGCCCGTCGCCTCCGTCATGCTACAACATGCCCTCGCCACTCCTGGCTGCCTCACACGCACACTCGTCACCATCGTGTTCATATCAATCAATCGACCGCAAAAAATATCGCCACTCTCATGCACACCATCACCAATATTCTCAACCATCTGGTGCAGCCATCTACGCGCGCAAGACGCGATCCCCAGATGATATCATCTGCTTCCGATGTCAATCGCTAGATGCCCATCGACGTCATCCTTCAGAAAGGTACGCATGTGCCGGCATATTACATCTCGAACCTGCTTATCTTGCCACTTGTGGCGCTCGACCGTCGCCTAGAGATGGGATGACGACGACATGCGAACAAAAAATACGCATCACCCCGAAACCTCATTTGGATGGCTGCCAGGCGGCATCCCATGACGCGTGTCAGCATTGACGGCGTCCCATGACGCTTGTCAGCACTCTCCGCTCCAAGAGACTATTTGGAAAGGCTCTTGCCAAGGAGAAGCTCTGGCCGAGGAAGTAAACGCACACACAGATACACACACACGCGAATACCAAATACATGCAACAAACAATGCCCAAACAGCAGAAAGAAAAGAACACAACCCCAACAGACAAAAACGCCCCAAGGCAGCCAAGCTTGCCCGAAGACTGCCACAATGTCTCCCAGCCGGCCCCGTGACTGCCCATGAAGGCCTTGACACACTCCAAAAGGACCCCAACAAGGCCTCAGGCCGGCCCAGGCGGCCCCCAAGACGGCCTAAGAGGGCGAGGAGAACCCAAAGCGCCCTCGAGAGCAAAACACAACAGTCTTCCTATGGGAAGGCAAATTTCAACAGACTGGCCCTGTTCAGCTTCCTGAAGCCCCAGAACGGCCAAAAAGGTTCCAAGGAGAACTTCAACACAACCCAAGATGGCCTCAAGAGGGCCAAAAGACGGCCCAGGGGGTTCCGAGACGTCTCAATGGGGGCCCCAAGATGGTCCAATATGCCCACAAGACCCAGAAAAGGAGGCTGGTAATGCTGCCTTTTGTTCCGTGGGCGCTTATGAATTAGGGCGTCACGCCCGTGCTGACATCTTGCTGAGTTTAATTTGCCTTGCTTGTCCTCATCCCCTCATCCTCCACCTCCCTCTCCCTGCTCTGGCCTCTCAACGGCCGGACGACTTCTTGCCCGTGGCCTCCGAACGACGACGCTAGCCCCCTGAACTGGCCCTGCAAGGCCGTCCTGGATTTACTTGAACGTGGGGAGGCAGATAAAGAGAAGCTGGAAACACGCGAGGCTAAGAAGCAGATGCAGGATCAGCAGGGAGAGCAGGGTGATTGCAAAACGAGAAGCAGGCGGCAGAGAACGAGCAGCAACTGCGGGGAGGCCGACGGCGGGGGACGGGGAGAGTGCCGAGTGGATCCTGCCGTGCCGGAAGGGCTGTGGACACGGGGCCGAAGGCAGCGGCCGCACCACCGCCGCACAGCGGAGCCTTTCGCGAGCGCTGAGCGCCCGGCAATGACGCCATCGGCGTCGCCGGCCGCTGGAGGCGGCGCCCTGCGCTTCCTGTCGGCGCCCACCGCGGAGTGCTCCGAGGCGGGCAGGCCGCCATTCGCGGCGCCGACGGCGGCCTTGACGTACTCTACGGGGTCCTGCACGGTGGCCGCCTCCTGCTCCAGCGCCTCGGCCAAGGAGAAGGAGACGAAGAGAAGGAGAAGGAGGAGGAGGAGGAGGAGGAGGAGGAGGAGGAGGAGGAGGAGGAGGAGGAGGAGGGGGAGGGGAGGGGAGCCTCGGGGCGAAAAGGAGCCCCCGGGCCACCGAGACCTGGCGCTTCGCGATGCGCGGGAGTCCTTCGGGCTCTCGCGCGGCTGCCGTGGGAGCAGGAGGAGGAGACGAGGAGGAGGAGGAGGAGGAGGAGGACGAGGAGGAGGAG